TGCTCTGCATGAATGAGGTGTGAAGACTCGTAGCATGAAAGCACTTTGAGGGGTCGAAAAGACCTGATAAAGCTCTATAAAAGTACAGTCCATTTACCGTTAAAAAACGTCTCTTATAGTCAAAATCTGTTTGTTTTTTTAAAGGCCAAGTTTTGCCCGCCGTCTAATTCTTCTCAAGTGAAAAGACAGGAATCCACCACCACGCGCCGGTTGGATGAGGGATGTAATGACACACTTACAATATTAAAGAGCTGAGATATCGTAAATTATTTTTAACAAAATCCCCCTGTGCCAGTCTGACTGCATAAAGCCCCCTGTTCCCTTTTATTTATCTAATTAAATGTGTATTATTTATTGATTTGGGTGGGTGTATGTATATGTGCATATTAAATGTACCGTAATTGGTATATAATTATTAATTGTAGTATAAATGTATTGCTATTGATGTACGTACGATTCTTTGTATCTATACATCTGCATCTGCTCTGTTCTCTGCTCAGTATAATTGCAAAATCATAAAACAGTTGAGAAAAAAAGGTGACGTTTACATTTTCTTAAGGTTTAAAACAAACAGGATTTTGAAGATAGGGTTTATCTGAGTTCAATCCTGCCAACACAGAGCTCTAAATCAACACGGTTCAGCAGCAGCTTCATGGATGTTTGTCTAAGGATAAACAACACTGCTAACAAGCCTCGACTTTCACACACATTGTTTGAGCCCTATAAGAAAGGTGTCTGTCTGTCTGTCTGTCTGTCTGTCTGTCTGTCTGTGTGTGTGTGTGTGTGTGCACTCACGCTGGAGTCAGGAGCAGAAGAGTTGGCCGTGGAGGGGCTGCGTGGGGAGGGCGAGGCGGGGGGGTGTGAGAGGCACACACCAGGTGCATCATGTGGTATTCATCCTGCTGCAGGTCGACATGGTCAGGGCACGAGAGGAGGATTGGGAGGAGGGAGGAGGAGGAAGAGGAAAGATCAGAGAGAAGGATTAGTATGGAAGCGTCCAGAATCAGACACAACACTCCTCCTTTGTTGGTCAAACACATCCGAACAGCTTTCGTTCCTTGGCAGACGGTTTCATTTCCCCCACAGACTCAGAGACACGTGACTTCTGTTCCAAGCTCCTCTAATGTGTCAGCTATTCTGTCAGACATGATTTTTAAATGTATATTTTGGACAAGCTATTTGATTCTTTAGGGCAGTGGTTCTCAAATGGGGGTACGCGGACCCCTAGGGGTACGTTGGAGTACTGCAGGGGGTACGTGAGATTTATTTTATGTTAATAAACAAAAAAACAACATAAGTAATGCATTTAAACAAACTACTAATAGTAGATGAACTACTTTATTCAAAAGTTTACAGTAATTCTGGATATAAAATGGGAAAAAACGGGGTGCTCTCTTTTCCTCTCCCTCTAATGACAGCCGGTCAGTCTCGTACAGCTCGCTGAACCTGTACTAAGTGACCCGACAGTAAAGAATAAATATATGTATAACTAGTTTAGCTTGTTCCAGAGTAGATAAACTAGCTAGGTGTGTTAGGTCTAACTCTTACGGAGCGTCCACACAGCAGCGTTAAAAAAATCTTGGAGGTGGGCGTATCTGAAGCTTGGGGATTTTTTGCGAGCAACGCGACCAACAACCAATCACATGAATCTCCCGCCCCCGACATACGAAGCAAAAAAGCCCGAAGTAAACTGGATATAAACTCCCCAAACAGGCGAAAACATACCACTGTCTCTGCCACCTCCCTCCATGCCTGGCTCCTCCGGTTTGTATCCCGGTAGGTAAATAGGGACTGGTCATAAAGCACCGGGTGATTCCCTACCGCTATAATTAATTTCTCCTCTATTTTTTGGAATATGAGGAAATGACCTGCGGTTTGCCATGAATTTAGTGATGGATTGTAAACATTTGAAATGTAGCATTTAAGTGTTTCTCAGTTACAATGTTGTTGTTTAATAAATCAGACACTGATGGTGCAGCACTGTACTGTACCTCTTTATATAGACATTTTTTCCCTACAAATTGTTTTGCGCTGATCAGGGGGTACGTGGCTGAATTTGTACATTATTGAAAAAAGTTTGAGAACCACTGCTTTAGGGCATATTTCGATTCAAAACAATTCTTAATTTAAAATCTATTCGGGATTTTTGAAAAGTTATTATTATTTTTCATTTGTCATGATATCAAGAAAAACTAATTCAAACAACTGGTAAGCTGAGGCTAGCTGTCTTTTTATTTCTTAAAAACTTGACCATTTCAAAATTACATTGAAGAAAAAACTGCTTGCCACAACTTCCATATGGTGTTTAGGATTAATGTTTACAAGTAGCAATATCTAGACTCTTCTGGAAAAAAGAATGTTTCAAAAATCTTGGATAATAATCTTATATCAATATTGTTTTCCCCATCCCTCATTTGATGTCATTTTACAGACAAAAACATGACTGATGACCATGACAATAACCGTTAAGAAACATTTAAAGAACTAAAAACATTTTGGGGGACATTGGGCAAATATATTTGGGTGAGCTGCAAAACTATTGAATTCATCTCCCTGCAAAAGGTTGCATCCATAAGTTGACCTGCAGGAAACACATCAGATCTCAGCAGCTCTTACCTTTCTGAGCACGTCTTTGAGCTGCAGGTGGTCTTGCAGGAGTCTTCCTGAGTAAACCAGCCGCTGGTCTTTGGACAGCTGCAACACAAACAACATGAGTGGTGAGACTAAGGAATACAAAGTGCATTTAGGTCACTGTCCCTTCTATCATTTCCACATAACAATCCTTTCTTCACATGTAACCAGATAAGGGTGGTTCTGCCGTGTAGAAAAAAGGCCTGAGAGTAAAAACCTCAAATACAACAAATGTTCAGAGTGTCTCCAAGCTCATAATAAAGCCTTGAGTAAAACCCTGCTCTGTTCTCTGCAGATAATGTACATTTGAAGGTGACAATTTCATGAGAAGCAGGACAAACTCCATGTGCCGATGAATATCAAGTTATATGATCATCAGCATCAGAACTGCTTCAACATGGAGGGTTTTGTGAGGTCCAAAATGTCTCCGTGTCATCGCTGATGGAGAGTAGAGAGCCTTTTGAAACCAAAACATGTTCATCTCTTATGTTTCTGTTTGCAGCTGTGTGAGGGAGAGGTTGTTGCTGTGTGGAGGTTGTAACATGATATGAGGCACGTTTGAATTACATTAGCTGAGAAAGAGATTCGATTTCAAATTTGACAAAAGCACGCCCAGTTTACACAATCATCATCTCTGTGCTTCACAAGGCTCTGTGCTGCATGTCACTTTCCAAAGGACACTTTCCCACGATAGCAAACAAATACAAATTAATGATTGTATTAAGGTGCGTTGGCTTTTATCATCAATAAGCTCCTTTCTCCTTTGCAGCACCATCTGATTATTTTGACACAAACAAACTAGTTGGGGCTCAAACCTTCGCTGACATTTGAACACCTGTTACTTGTTGCTAGGGTGTCAAAGCTTTGTATCTGTGTCTTCTTGTTATGATGACAAAATGAAACAGAAACACCTTTAAAGGGTGGGGTTTTCCAGACTGTTGCAATACAGAAATGACACTTTCTTAGAGAGATTTAACAGGTTTCATTTATTTACGGTAGAAACATACTGTATATGTCAAAAGGTGTGCATTTGATGAATCATTACCTAAAGAGGATAATATTTTTTAAATAATGTGTGAGCAGGAGGCCCAACAAACCAACACAAAGCACCTGTGAACGACCTCTACACAGTCGTCACTGAGAATAAAGACAGCAGCATTGTGTTGAGTGTTACCGATTGTTTGGAACCTTCTGAGCGTACAGGAAGTGGATTATGCTGCAGGACTGGTTTGAAAAGTATTTTTCCTCACAGTAAAACAACAGCTGAGTTTAGAGCTGACATGGTGAGTGATGTACTCAGAAGATTAACAGCATGCTAACATTTTCAAGAAAATAGGACATCTCTGTTTGGTTCCAGCATTAAAATGTGAGAAATGTTATGTTCTCCTTGTCTAACATTATTGTGAATAAAATATCTGTTGGTTTTGGACTGCTGGACAGAAGGCAAAACAATACATTTGAAGAACTTTAACTAACTAAATGTGTTGCATTGGTTTAACTGTTTTGGAGAATAGCCGTTTAATCAATCAATTGAGAAACTGAATATAAATGAATTAATAAAACGTAATTATTAGTCAGTAATGGGTATCCAGAATAAGTTGTTAAGAGAACCTGTTCCTAGTTGTCCATTTACTTCAAATCACATGCACCCTCTTACATTAGACACGCACCCTCATACCACAGTGCCAATTTTCCCCGTAAAATGTTTAAGTGATGCCAGAAAACAATATTTCTGTTCGTCAAAAACGGTTTAATTACTCCAAAAACATTAAAATGTCAAATAAACCATCAGACGGCATAGACAGCTTTGTTTTTACGGAGCTTGTACTGTTATGGCAGAATGTTTATCACAGCGTATTTCTGGTATATTCATTAATGTCACATGGTATTAAGCAACAGTATAGTGGACTGTGTGGTGTTCATTTGGTTTGCTGGAAAATGGCCCATATATAGGCAACCAGCTGAAACTCTTCACCAGCAGTTGTATACATTGGGATGTGTGGTAGCTGCTAAATAAGGTCATGAACTCTGGGATCATGTAGAACTCAGAGGTTGCAACATGTATGACTGTATAAGGTTGGAACATCTCTGCCACGTATGCTGTTTCAAGTGTATGTTCGTGTGTGTTTTGCATGCATAACACATGAGATCTTTCTGTTCGTGGGAGCATTTCTGCATTGGTTGCTGTTGAAGCAAGGTAATGTTTCCCCATTGTTGTTTGGTGGTGCGCAACTAAATAATAATGATTAATCTCAACTATTTCTGTGTTTGTGTTTCATTGATTCCTCTCTGTTTCATTCTTTCCTGTTGTGTGAGTGCTGGATCGCCACAACAGTACGTTGCGTTGTTGTTTACGTCCGCGGCGCCATCTTGTATACGGGCGTCATTGATATATCTTATATACAAGATAGCGCCACAGTATTGCTCTCATACTATCTTTTTCTAGAAAAAACCCTGTAGCTTTAATTCCTCTAACTTGTTTATTAAAATGATATAAGGCCATTTTGTCTTTTTGACTAAGGAAACCTCAATGAAAAACTAACGCTTTCACGCTACGAATATTCTACTCCATTTCATTAAGATGAGTTATGCTGCGTTCACACCGGACGCGATGCGATGTTTGGGGGCGGCGCGATTACATGTAAAGTCAATGCAGAGGCGCGGACAGACGCGAATTCGCTCCGACGGCGCGCATGAAGCGGTGGATGCGGCGCGAATCACGCGATTGAGGCGATTGAACGGTGCCGCGTTAAACGCGAGAGTTCAATTTTTTCAACTCGAGCGTCAAATTCACGTGACGCGTTCTCGCGGAAGCCAATCAGCGGTGAGGATCTCAGCCTGCCGTCACTGACGTTCAACCACACAACATCAGCCGTTAGCTGTTAGCAGTTAGCACACAGAGCTCACAGCTCCTCATATATGTTCAGAAACTGGACAAAAGTTAAACAAGTACAAACCACAGACTGTCTGTGTCATGGAGAATACAGTCGCTGCTTTATTTATGTCTGTAGGCCGTTGTTATGAGTGTGGAATGAGCATATACAACGTTAGCTTAGCCTGGTCGACCCGATCTTCATTCAGAAAACAAGCATTTTAAAAGGTTTTTCGCCTGCCGTCTGTCTGCAGACTTGTCAAAGCATTAATTCATGGTTTTTACTAACCGGTATCAGTATGTTGTTACTTCGGCATCATTTAGAAACGTGTATTACAATTTAATCACGGTAAAATATGTTCATTTGTTGTAGTTGTAGCTCCCGAGCCAGCGCGTCTTGTTTGAATGATGCGAGTAAACACAGCTGGCAGCCGCGGTGAAACTCCAGCGTTTAGAGCGATGCGATAGGAGCGATTAGAGCGAAGCGAATAGTCGCATCGCGTCCGGTGTGAACGCAGCATTAGACTGATCTGAAGATGCAGCCAGTGCTGATAATCAAAGTAGGTTAATGCTAATAAACGTGTATGAACCCTTTTCAACCTAAGGAATCAATAAGGCAATCAGTATTATTAAAATCTTATCAATGCACATCACTATTTGGGACATTTTAGTCAGAGCCATCTAGTTTTATGTCCACCTAAACATAATCAATAAAATAATTCTAAGGGGTCACTCTGGGTACATGAGCCAGATTAAACTGTTCTTAAGACACGAAGATAAGACCTTACTAAAACAATTTCTAAGAAGAAACCACAAACACGGAGCAATTGGGGTTTTCTATTTCGTTGTGTTTTAAAATGTTCGTGTATGAGAGCTTTTCAGTCTGTGGCTAGAAGTATGGTTTTATTGTCTCGTGCTTTTACATTTGTTTTTTTGTCCTATCGGTTTTGTCTAAATGTATTTATGCTGCTATTTATAAATGTATTGATGTACAGCACTTTGGTCAACTCTGTGGTTTTTAAATGTGCTATATAAATAAAGTTGGATTGGATTGGAGCTAGAAGTACACCAAAGGAAACCAGAGAAGGTGGAGAGCTACTCACCGGCTTGCTGGGGTACACGTTGGAGATGTGAGTCTTCAGCCTCTCCACGGTCCAGTTGAGGAAGCAGTTTATGGTCTGGTCTTCATACTTCTGGTTGGGGGCCTTGAGGACCAGGGTCACAGGACTATCAACTGCCCAGGAGTCCATGGCTCATATTACTAGCAGGCTCTGAAGAACCTGAGCTTAGTGTTTCAACTCAGGACTGACCTGAGGAGGAAGGGACTTCAAATCCTCTCCATGCTGGACTCAGCTAAATCACGCCTCAAACTGTCCCTGCAAACAGAGGTGGGGGGGTTTCCATCTACAACATCTCCGTACGAGAAGTTGGTGGAATTCTTCCGTGGTGTTAGTTCTTTGATTTCTGGTAAAAAAAGAAAAGAGGAAGAGTCTGAGTGCCTGAGCTGTGGAGGAGGTATTTCATACAGGATCAAATGATCACATTAAAACAACATGTATTTAAATCTAAACAATCTGTCAGTTGTTATACCCTGGTCCTGATAGAAACTAAATCTTATCTTATTTCAGCTATGTTTTTTTATGAATTCAACGGCACAAAGGAATACACTCGTATAAATAACTTAAGAGGCTGTAGTTTGAATCAACACCTCTTTAAACCGAGTGTAATGACGGCTTAACTTATTGCAGGGTTGTTTCTATATGGAAAAAACCACAATGTTGTTGTCTAATAAAGTGTCCGTCTGTCTCTGAATACCCTCCAGTTGGCACAACATGTCTGTGGCACTAAAAAATATTTTAATGAAGACATGCAATTTTAAAAAGTGGTTATTCAAGTTATATCTTAAAACAACTTGGCCTCTTATAAATGTGTGTGTTTTACTAAAAAAGTATGTTTAACAAAAAAACATGTGTGTACTATCTTTCAGATAATAAAAACTGTTCCTTGGCAAAAACATATCGACATAGTGTTATGATACAAATAGGAGGATTCCAAAGAGTCTCACCTTTACATATTAACCTGACAGAACAAGCGGTAACTAGTTAAGATAAGCATGGAGGAGGCTGCTCAGAAGATTCTAGTTTAGTTCATAATATGATGCACTTCTGTAGTTTGTAGGCAAAAACTAGATGGAAAAAGTGCTCAGATCTTGTACTTAAGTAAAAGTAGAAGTACCTGAGTGTAGAAATACTCTGTTACAGTAAAAGTCCTGCATTCAAAATGTTACTCAAGTAAAAGTAGAAAAGTATTATCATCAGAAATTACTTAAAGTATCAAAAATGAAAGTAGTCATTGTGCAGATTGGTCCATTTCAGAATAATATATATGATATGTTTTTATAATGATTGATCATTAAAGTGTTATCAAGCTGGTAAAGGTGGCAGCTAGTTGTAATGACTTTGTATACTGCAGGGTAGCTTGTGGATTTACTCCAGGTGGAACCAACGTGTGATTTAAGTGATGATTATATTAAACTTCATTAATCCAATCTACAAAGTAACTTAAGGAGTACAAGTACACGATTTACCTCTGAATTGTAGTGGGGTAGAAGTACAAAGTATCAAAACATGGGAAATACTCAAGTAAAGTACCTCAACATTTTTACTTAAGTAAAGTACTTGAGTACATATAGTTAGTTAATTTACACCAGTGGCAAAAACATTGAAGCATAAAAAACCGCGTATAAAGTTGGAGTTTCATTTTGACTTCCTGACACCTGACATGTTGCGTCATCTTTACAGAACACTGTCAAAACAATGAACTAACTATAAATCATCCCGAGCCCGACGCAAACTGAACCCGGGGATTATATCATAATACACTGTTAACCAATGCTACTCTAGTGTTCACAAAGCAACAAACACAGTCATTCCTAGCTTTAAAAGCCAAGTAGTCACTCCTGTTTAGGTTTTTGACCCTTCGTGAAAGCAGGAGAAAGTGTTAGCTTGTTGGCTAACACGTTAGCTTAGGTGTTGCTAGGTAGAACATTCGGTTGGCGTTGCTAACCGTTGGCCGCGGGTGAAAACACATTTAACGGTATTAGTTTAATGACATGAAGACGGTCTATAAGTATCAGAAAGAGGTTTATTATCATACCTGTTTTTTACTCTGGCTGCGTTACCGGTCGTCTCTTCGTCCCAGCTCCCTTGTTGTTGTAATGTCGGGTGTGAGACCGGAAGCCACGACATCATCTTTCCTCACAACAGCTGATCAGGGAAAACAATCCAGAGTAAAGAAAGATCTTTAAGTAAAAGTAGCAATACTACACTGTAAAATACTCTGTTACAAGTACAAGTCCTGGTTTAACCCATAAGAACCCGGACCCATTTCTACTTTTGGGGAAATTAAGAGGAACATAATTTAGACTAAATAGACCACCTAAAACACAAGAAAACCCCCCTAGTGTCAAATATCTGCAATGTGACATATATGTCACATTGGGCTTTAATGGTAAAACACTCTTATTTATACTTAATTAATGAGGATGATTTTTTGGTTATTAAATTAGTTTGAACATTCTTTGAATTGAAGAATAAAGAATAATATTAACTAAATATAATTGAATCCAGCTAAATTAACTGAGCAGATCATAATCATATTTATAATTGTGCATATATGTCACTCCGGGTTTACTGTGAAAGTGTAGGGTTTAAAGTCCCGATGGTGAAACCAGTGTCACAGCGATATTTATCTCATTTGTTTCATATCAATTTGATCAAGAAATGTTTCCACAACAGGTTAAATGTAATAAAGGACATGTTATGTAAGCATTTTAATTCTTAAATGGCTTGAATTTTACCTTTAGCAACAACAACAAAAGCTTTTGAAATGTAGCTAGTTCTGTCACATGTGTTAGTCTGGCACATGGACATCTTGGACATGTTGTTATGGGAACACAAAATCACATGACCTCGACCAGACCCACCAGACTGTTCAGGGTGTGTCACTTGGGGACTTCATGAGATAAGATAAAAGCAAAAGCTGTATAAGGAACTTTCCAGAACATTTAAAGTGCATGTGACACCCGTGTCACGTTGGGTCCGTACTGGTTGATTTATTAGTCCTATATTTTAATGCATTACCTGCAAAGTTGCTAGTAACGGCATTTGTTAAAAAAAAAATCTAGTGGAATAAAATGTACAAAATTGCCTCCAAAATTAAGTAAAGTAAAACTATAAAGTAGCATAACATGACAATACTCAAGGGGAAGTACAAGTACCCTCAAAACTGTACTTAAGTACAGTACTTGATTAAACGTACTTAGTTACTTTACACGCTGGAGGTGGAGAAAGTATGTACAAATCCTCTGCAACAACAAGAAAGTAAAAGTCCTGCATTTTTTATCTTCATATTGTAGAATTTAAAAAAATGCAACGAGACTTTAAAACAATTCATATCATTCAAGTTATTACCCTGATCAATAACCTTGTTTTAAGCATTAATACCTTTATTATGACATCACTGTATTTGTTGTAATAAACATGTTTTTACATATTTGTTGTTGTTATAAATTGAGTTGCATCTTTTGACTTAAACTTCCTACCTTTTTTCAACATTTGATTCCATTTTATGTTTTTATTTAATGCGTTCAAAATGGTCACAAAACCTGATTTTGATAACGTCATGACTTTACTTTCAATAGGATAATATTTTCAACATCGTAGCTGGACATTTCTTTAAGAGAGAAAAACACAATTATATAGGAAAAAACCTAAAAACACAAAAAAAAAAGGGAAAAGTACAATCTTCGTATAAGACAAGCTCCAGTGACTAGTTGTTTTTTTTGTTTTACTTTATTGAGATGGTACAATGTTTTCATTGTCAAAAGAACGGCAGTATAGTAAAGTGACAGTATTTTGCACACACTTCAATGTATCCAGAAGTGTTTCAAAGGCATGCTTAACTGTACACAGGTTTTTTAAGTAATACATTTTTCCATTTACAGATTTTCAGGTAGCCTTCCAGCCACACTCCCAGTTCTCCTAAATGTTTTTGGTTACAGCTTCAGTTTCGGAGCACCTCCTTGGTCAGCTGTTTACTGTAGCGGTGATCTTCCAGTGTCCAGGCTTCCATCCCAGCAGAAAGCGATGAAAATCTGTCCAGGCATAAACAAACATCTCCCTCCACTCCGTCTCCAGGGCAGCAAAGTCACATCTTTTTTCACAGATTGCTTCAGTTCACTAAAATAGTAGTCCAGCAGGCTGGTACCCTCTTTTCACACTGCTTCTCCTCCATGCAGCTTCCTAAAAAATACACAACGTCCTTCATCCCACAGCCTCCTCCCACATACTGAAGTCTACCGCTGCCACGTCCCGCCCACCTTCGGAGAAACAGAAGTTGGCTAACTTGGCGTCTCCGTGAACGATTGTCTTGAAGCGACATTCGTTGAGGATCTTGTCGATGTCCCCGGCTGCTGCTTTCAGCTCGGGATGGCCCATGGCCTCCAGCTCGTCGGGCCGGGTCTCCAGGTGCCAGTATGTGCCGACGGGCCACAGACCCTCAGGTTCCACCCCCAGGAAGAGAGTGTGGAAGTGGGCCAGCCAGCTGAGACAAGCATTTATTTCTCGGTCCTTCACGCTGGTCCTACAGAGAAAACATCTTTATTTATACAGCATGAAACATTTGTATTCTCTCATAATGTCTCACACTTCTCCATGCTGTGGTACAACCTGACAAGCATGTAATATACAGGATGTTGAAGAGGAATGGTCAAAAACAGAGTGCTCACAAGAACTGCCAGATGTTGTTTTGGTTTTATTTTGGTTCTTTGAAAATGGATAATGGTTTAAAACGTTAAAACGCCTTGTTATGGTATTTGCATCTTATTTTATGAGCGGTGAGAAGTATTTGCATGCATACATCATGCACCCAAAGCTTGAAAACACTTTGATTCTCACACTTTTGTATTTGGAAATATGAGTTTTCTTTTTAACATCATGAAGAAGAGGTGAGATAACACGCATTACACATTTTGGTGAGTTTTTAGTGCTTATTTGTATCATATTTTTAGTCTAATTTGTATTGTTTTTAAGCAATAACTAAATAGGATAAAGGGGTTTTGTATTTCTTCACCTTAATATGTCCTGCGAGTGTAAAAAACATTAGCATTTTTAACATTATATTTCCACGTATAAGATTTATGACGAGCCACCAAAACGCCTGTATTTTTATTTCGTTTTGTATTTCATGAAACCTTATTCCTTCCCGTGTGTGATGTGATATGTTCTGAAAAGTAACATGCAATGTGAGAATTTTGACCTATGACCTCAATATTTAATCCTGGCTGTTTATGTGGATGTATTTATAACGGAAAGTCTTTGAACAAATGTATGTTATGCTCAACTGCTTCTCATCTAGGAAATAAGAAATGTAAAACATGATGATTCATTAGATATTAAAGTGACTGTTATTTTGTATATATTGATTGTTGTGCTTTATTTAGGGTCTTAATGTGTGCATATGTATAAATATTTGCACACATATTTGTATATATATATGTGTTTTTGTACTCGGGATTGTGGGAAACGGTATTTTCGATCTCTCTGTATGTACACACAAACTGAAAGATTGACAATAAAGTTGACTTTGACTTTGATATACATTGCAGAGCTACAGACCGACCAGTATTTCTTACAAAATCTCATACCTCCTCTGATCATACCCGGCCACATCCAGGTCCTCCAGCACGATCAGCATCTCATCTCCATAGGAACGAGCAGCCAGGCAGGCGGGGGTCCTGCAGCTCTGATTGGTGGAGAAGTTCTGGTACCAGTGAGTCTCCACCTGGTAGGATCTCACTTTACGTGTGTGTGAGCGATCTGTGTTCCAGCCGCCGGGATGCTCCGCCTCCTCTGGAAACTTGACGTGTTTGAGGACCACAGACGGCCAATCAGAGCCCTGCAACTGCAGCCGCACGATCTCCCCGTACCCGCTCCACAGCGTCTGGATCTTTGCCCCCACACACAGGGAGGAGGCCCCGCAGGCCTGCAGGACCAGATCCTGGTGCTCCGGCTTCATCTCCACTCAGAGCTGAAGATGAAGCACCAGTGTGTGTTTAACATCTCTGCCTCTTAAAGGTCACCTATTATGCAAAATCCACTTCTTCATGTCTTTTTCTACATCAACATGTGTCCCCTCTGTGTAAGAGACTCTGAAAGTTTCAGGAAAAAAGATTCTCTCACTTTCTATCCTGATCCATTTCTATAAAACCTGTCTGAAAATGAGCTGATCAGATTTTGGCCACTTTATGATGTCATAACGATGTTTTGTCATATAATACATACGTTTATATATATTAAATATTTATATATGTATTTTTTATATAGTCTTAAAGTTACAACCGGCCCTTTGAGTGCAACCATAATGCTGATGTGGCCCGCGATGACATTTAGTTTGACACTCCTGATCTAAAGTAACAGAAAGAGAATCAGCACTTTTGAAACAGGGCTGAAACAGAGATCTGTTTGGTATTTGGAGCCAAACACTTCAGAGACATGTTTTGTATATATCTGAGACCTATAATATGTTGATGAAAAACAGTATTATAGGTGACCTTTAACTGGACTTATATTCACACTGTACATTTATTCAAATTCAATTCAAATTCAAAGGTTTAATTGTCATATGCACAAAGCTACAGTGTAGAAATGGCAATGAAATTCTTCTGACCTGAGCCCTCCAACAAAGCAACATATATAATAAAATACAAAAATACAAAATAAAATACAAAAATTGTGCAAGAAGTCTATATATGTAAATAGAATATGATATGTACAAAAACAGAATATGAAATTAAATAATTGACATTAAGACAAAATTAAATACGGTTTATTGCGGTGATAACTATTCAGATAACATTTATATTGAATTATTATGCCATTCTTCACACACTTAATGCTAATAATATCCGACTTTTATTAACAGATAGTCTACAGATTTGCATCTTTCACGGTCAACTTCTTAGTTCTGTTTCATTTTTATATTGTGAGATGTTTATAGTTATTTTCTATTTGCAATTTACAATTCAGAGGTAAATCATGTAGTTTTACTCCTCTACATGTATTTAATACCCTTAGTTACTTTCCAGATGTGGATTAATGAAATATAATCAAGTGTTAAATTAGACTTTAGTTCCACCTGGAGTAAATTCACAAGCTACCCTGCAGTATACAAAGTCATTCAAACTAGCTGCACCTTTACCAGCTTTGAGAACACTTTGATGATCAATCATTATAAAACATATCATATATATTATTCTGAAATGGACCAATCTGCACAATGACTGCTTTTACTGTCCCTACTTTAACTATATGTTGATGATAATACTTTTCTACTTTTACTTGAGTAACATTTTGAATGCAGGACTTTACTTGTAACAGAGTATTCCTACACTCTGGTACTTCTACTTTTACTCAAGTACAAGATCTGAGTACTTTCTTCCACCTCTGCTTCTTCCATCACTGGGAACAGTAATATCACACACATCTGGAGGATTGTTGGTGTCACTGTGTTATAGTGAGTCACTTACCTTACTCACAAATGATCAAGCTTGTTCATCCAAATAAAGCAGACTTTATCTCTGTTTCCTTCTCAAACATTCAGTTGTAATAGATATAGATATAAACCCTGCAGAAAGAGAATGAAATAGGCTTCTCTTTACCCTCAGCTTTCATGTCAGGTAGCAGGAAGTATTTTCTGTGTGACGTTTATAGCAGCAAGCACACAATGAAGTAAGCTTAATGAACACCACTGCCACCTGCTGGGCCGGAGTGCATCCACAGCAACACTGTGTCCCTCTCATCCTGAATTTGTCTAAATGAAGTCGGCCTGGACACTTTGGGGTCAAAGGGACAGGTGCATGGGCTGACAAAACGGTCAGTGAGTAAATATAGTATTTATTTACATTCTCAGCAAGAAGAGCAGCCAAAGACACACAGATACAAATAAAACTTTATCTGGCAAATCTTAGTCAAATTTGAACACAGTGATGACACTCATTTTTTAATTCAGTTTGACTCGCATTTTCCAAGGATATAGTCTCTGAAGTCCACTGCGAGGGGGACCCAAGTTCCCATCAGCAAAAACACGTCGGTTTGCTATCCTGGCTCCAAAATGGTGGAATGAGCTCCCCATTGACATCAGGACAGCAGAAAGCTTACACATCTTCCGGCGCAGACTAAAAACTAATCTCTTTCGACTCCACTTCGAGCAATACAATTACTAACAAAGCACTTATATACTAACTAAGCACTTACATAACAAAGCACTTATATACTAACTAAGCACTTAGATACTAACAAAGCACTTATATACTAACAAAGGACTGGCTTATCTAAAGCCAGTTGAGTAGCACTTAAAATGTTTTGGCTCTATGAAACCTAATGTACTTATATGATAAGCTTGTATCTTCTTGGTTGAATGCACTTATTGTAATTCGCTTTGGATAAAAACGTCAGCTAAATGCAATGTAATGTAATGTAATGTAATGTTAAACTGCACTGTAACTTTTATTCATGTATTTTTCATTTTAATGTTTATTTTATTATCTTTGCTTTTTAATGACTGTTTTTAAATGCCATTTTCTTAATGTCTTTCATTTTGTAAAGCACTTTGAATTGCCTTGTGTTGAAAGGTGCTATATAAATAAACTTGCCTTGCCTTGCCTTGCCTAAAGGATAGACTTCAATAGGTACGTTTTAACACTTGTAACTGGGCTAATTTACCCCATGTTAACAAATATCCTTTGGTGGGAAACAATAAGTGTGGATTTTGACTTTATAGTTAACTTACGTGATGCTAAAAATAGGGTGTTGCATTGGGTAATGGAAACTTCTGGAGCATGTAGTCGAAACACAATGAAACACGGGGAGAGCTTGAGCTTGATGGCAAGCACTGAAGATTTATTTGAAGTTACGGATGGAGAATTGACAAAGACATTTGCTGCAGCCAGAAGTTGACACGGCGGTATCCCAACCAATCCTCAAGGTCTCTACCCCAGAGCCTTGTATTTAGCTGGTGACAAGAGAATAATCAACATTGTGCACAGATAGATCAGGCAAAGCACTAAGACAACCTCTATCAGCTGACGCCAACAGGCAGGAATATGGAGACAAAACACAAGGTTGCAGGCCTGTGCTCAGCAAGGGCAGTAAAAACTGATTAACTAGGTAAAAAGTCAAAGTCAACTTTATTGTCAATCTCAAATATGTTTGTACAGTACACACAGAAAATCGAAATACTGTTTCCCACAGTCCCGAGGTATAACAAAAAAACACACATTAAAATGCATACCATTGCTACGCTGACGACACTCAATTAATTTAGTCTTTTCCCCGTTCAGAAACCCAGGTCTTCGCACGCATCTCTGCTTGTCTAGCTGACATCTCTCAGTGGATGTCTGCTCGCCACCTCAAGCTCAACCTTGACAAGACTGAACTGCTTTTTTCTTCCTGGAAAAGATTGTCCCACTCTTGACCTAACAATCAACATCGGCACCTCGGTTGTTTCCCCCGACTCAGACTGCAAGGAATCTGGGTGTGACCCTAGATAACAAACTGTCCTTCACTGCAAACATCGCTGCTACAACCCGCTGCTGCAACCCGCTGCTGCAGATACACTCTTTAGTTTAAAACATCAAGAGGATACGTCCCCTCCTGACCCAGAAAGCGACGCAGCTTCTGGTCCAGGCTCTTGTCATCTCACGCCTAGACTACTGCAACTCCCTCCTGGCTGGTCTACCTGCATGTGCCATCCGACCTCTGCAGCTCATCCAGAATGCAGCGGCTCGTCTGGTCTTCAACCTTCCTAAATGTTCCCACACCACGCCGCTCCTCCGCTCCCTTCACTGGCTTCCAGTAACTGCTAGAATCCACTTCAAGACACTGGTACTAGCGTACCATGCTGTGAATGGATCTGGCCCTTCCTACATCCAGGACATGGTTAAACCATACACCCCAGCACGTGCACTCCGCTCTGCATCAGCCAAACGGCTCGCTGCACCCGCACTGCGAGGGGGACCCAAGTTCCCATCAGCAAAAACACGTGGGTTTGCTATCCTGGCTCCAAAATGGTGGAATGAGCTCCCCATTGACATCAGGACAGCAGAAAGCTTACACATCTTCCGGCGCAGACTGAAAACTCATCTCTTTCGACTCCACTTCGAACAATAAAATGAAAAAAATGAAAAACAAAAAAAACTTAGATACTAACTAAGCACTTATATACTAACAAAGGACTGGCTTATCTAAAGCCAGTTGAGTAGCACTTGTTTTGGCTCTATGAAACCTAATGTACTTATATGATTCTGTTTTCTTCTAGTTTGTATCTTCTTGGTCGAATGCACTTATTGTAAGTCGCTTTGGATAAAAGCGTCAGCTAAATGTAATGTAATGCAAGAACACTCAATATTTACAAAAAAACACAAAATAACCGTTTACTTCAAGTAAGCAGGATATATATAAAAAAAGATGATGTACATAGTGCAAATGGGAGTGCAAACATTTCCATAGCAGCGTAAAAGTGACTGGTGTTGGATTTGTTGTGTCTGTGTGTGTGGGGGGGTTTTAAAGTCCCGGTCCAGTGGGGGCAGAGTGGAGAGGTGAGATAGAGGGGAGAGAAGGGAGAGAGGGGGGAGAGGGGAGAGGTGGAAGGGGGGGGGGGGGGGGAGAAAAGGGAGAGAGGGGAGAGAAGGGAGAGAGGGGGGAGCGGTGGGGAGGAGGAGAGGGCGAGGTTGGAAGGGGGGGGGGGGGGGAGAGAGGGGAGAGGTTATGGGCCTAGGAAATTATTTCCCCAAAACATTGTACTGCATTATGTTGTGGTGAATAATAAATATTACAAGCACCTACCAATAACAAAGATTTCCATCCATTTGAGTAAAACATTGCCAGGGCTCGGTAAGCCCTATATCTGTCTAGTACAACAAATGTAAATAGATGTTGTAAGGTGTGTATGTATCTTTACTTTGCCCTTGAACATTATTATAATAAAGTTTGCACACGTTCCAGAGATTGCACGTTTTACATAACAGGAAGAAACATTTGTATATGAATATACAAGTCGTTTTCTATGAGTTTTGGATGGCCGAAGACATTACATTACCCACAATCCTCTGTAGCAACCATAGACTGTATAAAACAATTAAATAATACATTATTCCGAGTGTGCTTGCTTTTCTCTTTGAAAGTCATCACATAACGGCATTGTAATACACGTTTCGGCTGCATTAAATATGACATATCTGCCGTAGTTAACTCTATGTATAGAGCCCTGATGACAAGACTTCTAGACAAACAGGAACTGCCGCCAAAACTGAAAACTTGACGTGGATCTTAAATATATAAGCAATTAAACAACATCTTACATTTCTTTTCACACAATAACGTCTCCTTGCAGTATCAACACTAATTCGGCTGACTTTTATATTTGATCCAATTGGTAGATAGGCTGTATTTACGCCATAACGGTGCACAGCTGATAGAAAGGGGCACCTACTGGTTAAAGCACGTTATTGCATTTTATAATTGTATTATTTATTAGGATAATCTGGTGTTTTTGAGTTGATGAGTAGTGGAGATATCACTGTCAAATCAATCGACAGTAAGGGGAATACTTACTTCCGGGTGTCAATTCTCCGTTATCCAATGGGAATGGACGCTCACATTGCCTTTAACAGCCTCCGACACAAACGAATGCCGTGCTTCCCTAAGCGTCAAATACCGCCGCCGATGGGAACACATTGCAATCAGTTGAAAGCTCTTTGCGTCCGTTTATGAAGCTGAAGGAGCCTCGGCGCGTCACAACTGGACGCCACGGGACCCTGACCAAGCGTCGCTCCTGGACGCTGAGGGAGTGAGAGTGTGTTGGTAAACGAGACACTGGATGTAAACTCAACCTACGTATTCATGTATGTTCAAACTACATAACCATATAGCCCTGTGATCACAGAGGAGAGAGGGATTCAGAGCTGAACAAATAACATAGATGTGGGGGAAACTTCTGAGTAGCAATGCAGGAGGAGTCACCGACTCAGGAAGGAGACACGGGGAGAGCTGGAGCTTTGATGTCAAACACTGATGGTTTATTTAGGAGCTTCGGCCGGAGAATTCACAAAACAAATCAGGAGTCAGAGGTTCTGACTTCACGGTAGAGTTTGCCACGTCAATTCTGAAGAACTCTCCCCCAGACACATGTATTTAGCTAGTTCAGAGAGAATAATCAACATTGTGCATAACAAGAATAGAATCATAACACCTCTATCAGCTGACGCCAACAGGCAGGAACAGGGAGACAAAAACACTGAGAGCACAGCAGCCAGGTTTACAGGTGCGTGTTGCTCAGTCAGGACAGTATGAACTGATACACTGGGTCAAAGTTATGGGCCTTGGAAAATATTTCCCCAAAACATTGTACTACATTATGTTGTGGTGAATAATAAATATTACAAGCACCTACCAATAAAAAATATTCTTTTTACCAGGGCTCGTCGGTAAGCCCTATATCTGTCTAGTACAACACATGTAAATAGATGTTGTTAGGTGTGTATGTATCTTTACTTTGCCCTTGAACATTATTATAATAAG